CTACTACAAAAGACTACTAATTACTAAAACTTGCAGTCGAATGCTAAAAAAATTAGACGCTAAATGTGCGAAAAGCTCGTCTCCAATCTTGATCTATTTATTTTTTTGCAGGTCATGAGAGACGATGCCAAATTTTAATGAACATTAACGTCACTAGGCAAAAATTCCTATCCCCGAGAAAAAAATATCTTTTTTCCAAAGTTATAGAATCTAGCAATAAGTTAGGAAGAATAAGTAAAAGGTTGTCGTCATTTAAATCCAAAGTTTCTGCTGCTGAATAAATAACATGCATCATCAACCAAATTTCAAAGGCTCGTAGACTACGTCAATCCATTGATATACAGCTTTATTTTAAGACAAGTCCGTACTCAGAACCAAAAGCCTACATTGGACGAGAAGTTGTTCGCGTTGTCTTTGCTTAAAGTGGTAAAGGGTATAGACTATTATCAAAAATATTTACTCTATCATCCAGGCGAAATCAGTTTCTTATAACTTTGAATGAGCATTATATTATGTATGACTACACAAACTTTCTACCTAACACATGCGGAAAGTGTCTTTCCTGAACTTAAAGGCTTGCCCGAATTCTGCTTTTTGTTGTCATTCGTGCAACTTCCATCATTTGCAGAAAAGTAGGTATCACTTTCCAAACTTGTTAGGTTAATAACGATTTTGGATTGTGAAAAAGGACCTCTTTTATAATTTTATTTACGATTTAAATATTCCATCAAGCTATTGTTAAATGTACGTCATTACTTCTTGTATAACGTACTTATTTTGGCAATTGCCTAATTATACTGCTACGGCTAGTCAGCTTCAGTTCGGAGGCCATGGGTCTATGGGTTCCTTGTATACATCTTACCTTTGGGCGCCACCAAGTTAATTGTGACTTAACTAGGAAGATAACTTAATGATGTTATAAACAAAACCTGTGCAATTGGAGAGCTTATCAATAAAACAACTAATTAGGTACAATAATGTATCTGGCTTCTTTATTAAAAAATAATAACAATAATGAATAGGGATAGCCAGGACATCATTATGGCTTGTACCAATTTATAAATATTTGATTATAAAAAAATTAATGTAAATAACACATATATAAATATGAATTTCAAGTGAACATGACTAAAAACCTTTTGGTATTTACACTTGTGAGTGATAAGAAAACTACAGTATGGGTTACACTTTACCAACAGGCAAATTAAACACAGAAAGATGAAAGTTATTGTTAGGGCAATCTCAGGGTAAAATTCTAGAATTTTATTTAAGGGGCACTTACCGGCGTAATTCGGTGTCAGATGATTTATATAAGATTTGCCTAAATAGTAAAGGTGCAACTTACATGTATACAAGTGAAATGTATGTGAAAATCCAGAAGTTTCCAAAGTGAGATTATCTACAGGTTTGGTCTCACTATAGATAGGCTAAGGTATGGTAAGTGAGTCATGAGTCCTATCCACGTTGTATCCATTCAACGTAGAATTCGACGTGGTTCTGCCAGAGTGGCACCAAGAGAGTTGCTGAAGAATGGCTACCAAAGCCCTAACTGAGAGCAATCTAGATCCAGTCTAGAATCTCTCTAAATACAGCTTAGCAACTGTCCAATTATAGTCTGAGACTAGGATTGTCCAACTATAGCCTGAGACTAGGATTGTCCAACGATAGCCTAAGAGTAGGATTGTCCAACTATAGCCTGAGACTAGGATTGTCCAACTATAGCCTGAGACTAGGATTGTCCAAATATAGCCTGAGACTAGGACCCTATAACGATGTTCGTATAAAAAACAAATCGAGCCCCAAATATTAGAAATAATCTTACCTCAAATTGAGGGATACTCTAGACCAAAGGTGAAGTCTCAAACTTCCAAATGCTGCTCGGAACAGTCCTATTAAAAAAAAAATGGAACACGTGTTGTAGGTTAATATTTCCTGAAGAAAATCTCAAACTTACCGAAACAGAATCCAAAAATGACCAAGGGACGACTCTAGACAATTATCAGCAAGAAATTAGTCTAAAACTTGAGCTCCCTGGAACAAAATTCCAAAAAGTCTCGCCCCAAAAATAATTAGGGCCGAGGCCCGAGACCGGACGACTACTCAGCGTGAGGTCGCAGATCAAAAGGGCAGATTCTTCATTTAGAATTTAGATTTCGGAAGAAGACTTTCATCTGTCAAACTTCCAATTTTGACATTGAAGAAAATTATAGAAAAGGACGTGTTCAGTTTCACCCCAAAAGTACGAACTGAGAATCGGTTGTGTAAAAAATGACTGGTGAATGTTGAAAAGTGCCTATTAGAACATATATCAAAAGGTAGAACAGGTCTAAAGAAAACGCCTAGACAAAACAGCTGTTCAATGACATGATGGAAATGAAAAGTCAAAGAGTACAAAAAAACAACAATTATTATTATGGTAATGGTACTAACTCCTTTTCCTAAGATTCTAATCAATAACAGCGGGCCCTGCCGTACTGAATCAAACCTTCCCAGATCAATTAACCAAACTTGCAAACCTGAACCAAAAAAAACTTCTTATAGAAGGCAGTACTCAAGGTAACAAAATCTGGGCACAAAAAAGATAGTTGTTTATTCATTTATTTCATTGTAGCTCTATATGGAATCATATCCAGTATGGCAAAACAAGGTAGCTTATTAGCCAAGAAATTGAAAACGTTACACTTGTAACTGCCCTTATTGTCCTTAACCAATGAACCTAACTAGCGTTACCTACTTAGAGCAGGTAAAGGTAAAGGAGTAGTAACCTGGATTTGGAAAATGAAGCCGTTTTTTTCCAGGTATTTTGGCCCACAAAAAATGGCGGTTATGGCAATTCAATGCTTTACCTGTATTTTGGTGCCAAACACCTGCCAAAAACTTGGCTTCACTTTAGTTTCATAAGCAGAATGGCGCGTTCCTACTCCTTATGTCCGTAGGACAGCGCTTTACCTGCTCTAAGATTACCTATGTATGTACCTACAGTGTCAGTTTAAGGTAGTTTGCCGCCCGGTGCTACAAAAACGCAGCGCCCCCCGCCCGCTCGGAAAAAAAACAAAACAATTTTTTTGGAGCATTTATTTCAGAAAATGTATTCAATTCTTTTATACAGGGTGTCCCACGGAAAACAGTCCATCTCGATTTATTGGATTTGGAATGAGAATCTGGAAAAACGCTCGGACACGTCGATTTTTGATTTGAGGGGAACCATTTTTCAGTTTTTTTTAACTCCCGTAGTTTTAACCCCCTAGCTGGGGTGGAACAACCCCCCAAATTTGAATAGGGGATAGGGGTCCTGTCCTACCTCTTTTTAAAGGTCTCATCGAGTTATTTATGGCCTTAGATTTTCGTCTTATCATTTTCATCCGTTACGAAATGACAGCTTGTCAAAATCTTGAAAATAGTTATTTGTGTACCAAGGCCGTAAAGTTGATCTTTTTTGGCCGAATCAGAAATTTGCGGCCGAGGCGCAGCCGAGGTCAAGCAAATTTCAGGTGAGGCCAAAAAAGATCATTCGGCCGAGGTGCACACAAAATTTTTTAGGCGAGTGTTTGTTCTTGAAAAAAGAATAAAATTCAACAGTAGCTTTAAACTTTATTGATCAAATAAATAATCCAGCAAAGATAGGTAGATACACAATTATTAATAACAAAAACTAGGATAAAGAGAGTGTGATTATAGAAAAAATTGTCTATTTTCACCAAAGTAGCGGCCGTAAAGTAAAAGCGGCCGTGAAGTAAAAGCGGCCGTGAAGTAAAAGCGGCCGTAAAGTAATAAAGCAAATGCGGCCGTGAAGTGAATGCGGCCGTAAAGTAAATGCGGCCAAAAAAGATATACTTTAGGGATGATATTGAATCCGTAAAACTAATCTTTTTGTGACAGTCGCCTAAAATAGACTATTGTTTTAGTGGGAGTAAAAGCGATACTTACCTCCCCCTAATAAAAATACTTGAAATTGAAGTTTTTCATTATTATTATTAATCATGTGAACACGTGAATTGTAAATTGTGTATGTCGGATGAAAATAATAAGACGAAATTCTAGGGCCATAAAGAACTCAATGAGACCTTTGAAAAGAGGTGTGACACGACCCTTATCACCTATTCAAGTTTGGGGGGTTGTTCTCCCCCTACCTAAGGGATTGAAGCTACGGGGATGAAAAAAACTGAAAAATATTTCACCCTCAAATCAAAAATCGGCGTGTCCGAACGTTTTTCCCGATTTTCATTTCAAATCCAAAAAATCGGGGTGGACCGTTTTCCCAGGGACAGCCTGTATAAAGACGCAAAAAACAGTTTTCAATTAACTTATTCTTTATTAACAAAATATAAATTTACGCTTATAAACATATTATTTTTGTCAAAAAATGATGATTCTGCACACTGATGACAATTGCGAAGTGAAACTTTTTTCCCAGGTATTTATTATTCACAACCAACTGGTATGACATAAAATTTTGTATGCACCCTCAGGCGACTTACGAACCCTCGGGCCAGAGGCCCTCGGCTTTGTAAGACTGTCGCCCTCAGGGCATAATCATCTACTTAGTACCCTTGATACATAAATAACTATTATAGTTAAAAAAATAAATCAAACATGCCAAGATCTGTCATGTACTGTTTTGACGTTTTTACCTGACGGGTTATTTCCTTGATTTCATGTGACCCTGCTGATCGCCTGGAACCCTATGTTTGAGTTTGTCCGATAAATTTCGAACGCGATATTAGCATCGCGAAAATTTCGCATGCGATATTCTTCTCGTTCGATATGCTATTCCCGAACCGAATGCGATAAAAGTTGGACGGTTTCGAGTGTTGTGAGGGATGTCGTAGCTTGTGTCACGATTGTAACCAAAAGCTTAATGGTATTTAAGTCACATGATAAATATACATGGCGTGGGCCTTCCTTGTTTTGTCAGCTGTTTTCTGTTTTGACTTTTGGCTATTTGCCGGGTATTTGAGTTTATTTTCTGCGGATAATTTTAATTAATTAACTTAGTATCTATGAATTTAAATAAAATAAAGGAGAAACGTGCCGGTTATGTGTCCGCGGACCAAAAGACTAAACTGTTCGCTTTGATGCAAGACCGACCAGCGTTGTGTAGTGGTCGGTTTTCCTCAAGTTTTTCTAAGAAAGATGGCCAAAAGGAATGGATAAACATTGCAACCACATTAAATGGAATTGCCGATGGCAAGAAAAGTTGGATGCAATGGAGAAAAGTAAGTACCTAATTAATTACTGATTAAATAGGCCTACTTACGTTTAGAAACCTAGGTATGTTTATTGCGAAACATTTATGTGGTGATACAAGTGGGGTAATAACCACTATGATTTTAGACTTGGCAAGATATGAGATGCAAAGTGAAATCTAAGCAAGCCGTCATCAAAAGACATGCTAATGGTACAGGCGGAGGACCTCCTTTACCTACTAAATTAAAACAGAATGAAGAGGATATATTAAGTCTGATAAGCAATTTGGCCGTGAATGGACACTCCTCCGTTCAAGTATCCATTGTACACTTTGTACGTATTAAATTATTATTATTAATAATAAGTAATGGTTTAGGTAGGTACTCATTCTGAAAGCTTAACTATTTTTACACTTCAACTTTTTTCGATATTTCAATAAAAATTACAATTATAAGTATGTGTAATAAGATTATTTAATTTATTAAATGTATGTTGAGTGCAATTTGTATAATAAAAAATACCTTAATGCTTCCTATTGGTTAACTACCTAAAATGTTTTCCAGGATTTCAAAAATGCTATTGAATCAAATACTAAAGCCTCGGTTAAACCTGTCTCACCCATTGTTGATATACCTCAGCCTCAGCTGGTGAATAATAATTATGAAATTATGGATCATGATTATTATGAATATAATATGGCAAAAGGGAACGATAGCGTTGAAGAAATAATAGGTAGGCATCGACTACTAAAATATAAATTTTAAATATTCCAAGCAAAATCTAATATTATGCTTACAGTGTTGGACGTAATGCCGACGCCTGGTATTAAAAATACACAGGAAACAGAAAATATTCTACCAAAGAAAGGAACAGTGGAACATGGATCTTTGTTTATTCCAACTTCAGGTATTTTTCATTTTTCACTTAGATTTTTTTTTCTATTTTAGTCGAGGGCAAATAATTATTGCTGTCATATAGATTTTTTTACGATTTTTGGGAATGAATAATTCTCTGGTGATTTAAGAAATAAATTGCTTACCACTTATGGTTATTTGTTTTTATTTCAGTAAAGAAGCACACAGTTTCGTCTGCCAAAAAGTTGCAGGTAGCTGCTTCTGCAGCAGAATTGCTTAGTGAAACAGCAAAACAAAAATTAGAAATAAAAGAGGAGTATTTGAAGCGAAAATTAGAAATCATGGAAGGTGCAGAAAATGAAAAAAGACGCTACCACAACAAGATGCTTGAAATCAAAGAAAAACGCTTAATAATTGAAGAAAGAAAAGCTCGTGCCCTTGAGAAAATTTGTGATAATCTAATGAAATATAAAACTTTGTAAACTACAAACTGACAAAAGGTATTAATGTTATATTGGGCATCTTGTAGCCATCAGTTGATATTTTTTAAAAAAGTCAATAGAAAGTACAAACACTTCACTTTATTTCTAATATAATATGTGCATTGTAGGTGTGGGAAAATACAATTATTTTTTTAAAATGTAACATGAAATATTACCTAACTTTAAACATTATTTGAGAAAAGTTTTTGGATTAATTTTCTCCGCTTTTCCATCCATAGACGCGTTTCGACCTATATCAGGTCTCATCAGTATGGCTAGGAAAAGCGAAGAAAACCAATCCAATTTTTCGCCTAAAGGCAAATGCAAGAAATTCGAAGAGCGAATCTTGATCTTAACGCCATCTAGGACACGATAATCAACACTAGACGCAATTTTGCTGTGCAAAATGGTGAACGTTCCAAAGGCAGACCAAAATTCAGTTCGTTTGGGTTTCACCCAGAAGTACCACTGTTTGAGAAAAGTTTTTGGATTAATTTTCTCCGCTTTTCCATCCATAGACGCGTTTCGACCTATATCAGGTCTCATCAGTATGGCTAGGAAAAGCGAAGAAAACCAATCCAATTTTTCGCCTAAAGGCAAATGCAAGAAATTCGAAGAGCGAATCTTGATCTTAACGCCATCTAGGACACGATAATCAACACTACACGCAATTTTGCTGTGCAAAATGGTGAACGTTCCAAAGGCAGACCAAAATTCAGTTCGTTTGGGTTTCACCCAAAAGTACCACTGTTTGAGAAAAGTTTTTGGATTAATTTTCTCCGCTTTTCCATCCATAGACGCGTTTCGACCTATGTGAAACCCAAACGAACTGAATTTTGGTCTGCCTTTGGAACGTTCACCATTTTGCACAGCAAAATTGCGTGTAGTGTTGATTATCGTGTCCTAGATGGCGTTAAGATCAAGATTCGCTCTTCGAATTTCTTGCATTTGCCTTTAGGCGAAAAATTGGATTGGTTTTCTTCGCTTTTCCTAGCCATACTGATGAGACCTGATATAGGTCGAAACGCGTCTATGGATGGAAAAGCGGAGAAAATTAATCCAAAAACTTTTCTCAAACAGCGCTAATTAGGCAAGGGACAATAAGAAGGCCGGAAAAGTTTGTTTCTTGAAGAAGAAACGAGTAGCTAATTTAAACCGTGAAAAAGGAACTTCGCCCGATGTGGCTTCTAGAAAGCTAACTTTTTAACGACCCTCTGCGGAAAATTAGCGGTTTACCTTGTTTGACGCTGGCTGGTAGGCTATTTAAAAATAATCTTTATTTTCATAGCTAGCTAGTTTTATCGTCATTAATGAAAAAAAAAGAAAAGGAATTAGAGAATTTATTATTCTATCCCGGAATCATAACTCAAACGTAAAAATAATCCCTATATTTCACAACAACACACTTGAGTTAAATGTTTTGCTTTTGTATTTTATGATTGCGCAAAATTAGATTTCCACCCCGCATTTTGGTTTATGTTCGCAATTTTACTCATCACGTGAAAACAAAAGCACCCCCGAAACGCAAATCGTATCTTCTACACAATTAAAGATTTAATGCCTGTTTGCTTTGACAGATGCGTCTTATTTATTTTAAGGGCGTGTTAATTCGCGATTTGAGAGGGAATACCTAAACTATAAACATGGCAAATATAAGATAATTTGTAAACTAAGACTCGTTATTGGAATACATACTGTCCGCCCAAGTTAAGAACACCGGGTAAAAAAATTTGAAGAATTTAAGTTCATTGAAAACATAGTTGTCACGTACACTCACTAGAAAAAAATGAGGCGTTTAATAATTCATTTGTTAACAATTATTTTTTTGTAGTGAGTGTACTTGACAACTATGTTTTCTATGAACCTAAATTCTTCACATTCTTTTACCCGATATTCTTAACTTGGGCGGACAGTGCGTCATACGTGAAACGCGAATTCTTTATGAAAATTTCATTTAAAATAATATTCCCTGTCCCTAAATAAAACTTTTTTTTTTTTTCAAATTGGTTAGATCGGAAAAATTGATAACTACAGCTACAGTTCACAAAAGTATAAATGGATAATAAATATTCATTACAGTAACAATCAAACTCCGATCAGTAGGCTGAGAGATTTACACAGTTCAAGTACCAAAAAGGTAAAATAGAGATGCAAATTAGCCGGAAGAAGGACGAAAACTTTAGACCTCAATAATTTTTCGTGTTGCAGATTCGAATACTAAAATCTTTAGTGTCTAAAAGCAAAAAATGAGACTAATTATTTGGAAACTTTTGAAAAGAAAACGAATTAAGTCGGAAAATCTCGCATGAGCGAACCATAGATGAAGCTATCAAAGAACGTCAAATAAACGAAATAAGAGATTAAGGTCCCAATGACCATGTGCAGATAACCAAAAATACTATTTCTACGTTTCCTACTCCTACGTCTGCGCTGCTCTAGATAAGGCAGCCATGCTGATAAATTTGTCATCAAATACATGGGGCACTTTTTACGTCCCACAGCTTTTTTTGATCGGCGATGTTTTATATTTTATAGAATGCGAGACGACAATGATGATGAGCCATGATACCATTCCAGAATTTCTTAAATGTCTGAAATATGGATTTGCAAAATAGTTCTGCGACGTTCGAGTTTTCTTGGAACTTTCATATGAGTCGCTATAACGACATATCAAAACTTTTTTGTTTGGGTGATGCATCCATGGGTAACCAAGGATGCAGGCACACAAAGATGGACGTGTGTGTAGGTTCCCGAATAATATTTATGCAATATTTCACACCCGCTGGCAGTCCTGGAGGAGTGTGGCATTATTATTAGTACGAGTACGTGTCAGCGACATCCGCTTCAATACTGGACTTACTTTGGGGGTAAGTACTGCCTGTGCTGCTCACAGATGCGCTAGGAAATGTAATGACTTTCTTTACCGAGGAATATATACCGGGTGTTTTTCAAAACCCGCTCACCCCTATAACTTTTTTATTTTCCCAAATAAACAAATGAAATTTGGTGCGTTTATTCATGACCCGGAGGTGCATTATTTGACATATTCAATTATTTATTATCGATTTGACCGGAAGTGACCGTAACTTTCTTATTTTAAATGAGATGCCAGGTATATTTTCCCTTATTTCAATAGAAAACTACATTACAAGTACAATGACACCTCATTTGTCAGTTTTTGACATTTCATCTCCAAATTATTTAAATTTTTATTTTTCAATTTAGAGCGCCATGAATTAGGTAAAATGCTTAATTTTGCTCCAAGGAACCTGAGAAAATTTCTTTTGGTCTTATTTTGTATTTAATATCCTCAACAGACTCATTTAATGCTAGTAGAAGCGCATTTTTGGAATTATATCAATTTTTTCAAATGGAAAGGGTATGGCTCATTAGCATATTCCGAGAGAGCATTTTCTAACGAACAATTTAGTACCACACAATCGCTAGTTTATTTAAATATTGAACTGAAATTTTCCAAAAATATTTAGAATACTAGGAAAATTCTGTATTTGAGTGATGAACTAGCGATTGTGTGGTACTGAATAGGGAACTTGCATATTAAATTAAATATGGAATAAATAATAGAACATAATAATAATCATTCTAATAAATGATGCAATTAGGAAAAAAATATAATATCTTATCTCTGGTGTCCAAAATCTTCAATTGAAAATACCAAACAATTCGAAATTCATGACGCGATCAAAAACGTATTTCTATGGGTCCTGACGTCACAAGGCAGTAATAATCGGGTCGCGCCACTGCCACGCCATGCGCTGCTGGTGTTGTCAATGTCAAATCTATCATAAACGGCATACATAACAACATAAGCATAATCTAAATCTACCTGCTCGAAGGTCACTGTCAACCAAGGATATTCAACGGAATTTTGTTGCCGAGTGACGTCACACTAATCGGTCGTTTCAAATGGCGATGTTTCGAGCGTAACTTCAAATATTTATAAAAAATTAACGGCTGATTTTTAATGCTTGATATTTGGAATGACTATATCTTTAGTGTAGTAGAACACATTTTTGAAATAAAAAAAAAAAAAAATGTGCAAGTTCCCTATTGCTCGTTAGAAAACGCTCTTTTGGAATATTGCAATGAGCCACACTCTTTCCATTTGAAAAAATTGAGATAAATACAAAAATGCACTTCTACTACTTTTTTATGAGTCTGTAGAGGATTTAAAATACAAAATAAGATCAAAACAAATTTTCCCAGGTTCCTTGGAGCAAAATTAAGCATTTTAACTAATTCATGGTGCTCTAGTTTAAAAAGTAAAAGTGAGGTGTCATTGTACTCATAATGTAGTTTTCTATTGAAATGAGGAAAAAATACCTGGCGTCTCATTTAAAATAAGAAAGTTCTGGTCACTTCCAGTGAAACCGGAAATGATATTAAATAATTGAATACGTCAAATAATGCACATCCGGGTCATAAATAAACACACCAAATTTCATTTGCTTATTTGGAAAAATAAAAAAGTTATAGGGGTGAGCGGATTTTGAAAAACACCCGGTAGATTTGTGTTTTACTTCTACTAGTAGAAAATTTTAAAAATGATATGTTGATATCTTTGAGATCATTGTGAAAATCATTTTTTTCTGGATAGGCTTCTCGAAAGTAGGTACCGCCCTCTATCAACAGCTCATGGTAATTTCCTATGTACAGGGTTATTGGTTATAAATGTCACCCCCCTCTATTTTTTTTATTTGACATTTTAGAAAAAAGTGTCCCAAATAAAAAATGTATGGTTGAAATTAAATTTTTTGAAAAACTTACCTTTGCATATATAGGGTGTTCCAAAAAAGCTGGTCGTCCTCCAACTTTCTTATTTTAAATTGAATACCCTGTATATTACCTACCTAAACCTACTCTACGCATTCTTCGTTGTCAGTAAAAAGAGCATACAGGCAACACATTCTTTTCGAAATTACGATTCTTATTATCATTATTTTAGCTATCAACTAGATTGTAGACCCTTAAATTGATTTAAAAGATAATTGTATTGAATGCTCAAACCCTG